AGTGGTACTTCGGGAGAGACGACAATGTTACAGGACGGATCATGGATGGCTGGTTTGGCTATGGGAGACTCGACAAGATCAGGTGGCACTACAATGGCAATGCTACTCGCCGCATTTACCTTTCTGTTTAGTTTCTTGTAGCATCATGCTTGATTTTAGTAGTTGTGTTGTTAGTATTTGCCTTGTTTCATTTTAGCTTCTGTCTTGTTGATACTCTATGTTTGGCGTAGGACTACAGGTGTTTCGGGTTTTGCATTGTAGCTTTGTGTGTGCGTGTTCTTGTTTGAAGATTGCTTTCATGTTTGAAACTGTGAGATATGTTTGGTGATTTGATGATCTTAAGTTGGATTTCAGGTTTTGCATTGTAGCTTTGTGTGTGCGTGTTCTTGTTTGAAGATTGCTTTCATGTTTGAAACTGTGAGATATGTTTGGTGATTTGATGATCTTAAGTTGGATTTCAGGTTTTGCATTGTAGCTTTGTGTGTGCGTGTTCTTGTTTGAAGATTGCTTTCATGTTTGAAACTGTGAGATATGTTTGGTGATTTGATGATCTTAAGTTGGTTTAGACAAAAAGTTCCAAAGTTATGAACTCTAATCTGCTAATTAAAATATGTATTTACTATTATGTTTTTTATTTTTTGGCGTGTATTTACTATTATGTATGAGGTATTGGTTGGTCTGTTTCTTAAATCTTAGAGAAAAGATAACCATTTAAGAAAAATTTGTTTTGGTAGAAAAATGGGTGCAAAAAATAAGAGAATGTCACATTTAAAAAATGGGTCGTAATTGGGCCTAGTTTGGCCCATTACACAAACTTACGATTAAGGTCTTAATTGTGCAATAATCACATTTTAAAGGGGCTTTTATAAGAAAGCCATAAATTCTCGAGGGGTCACAAAAACTAAATCAGAGTGAGCTACAATGGCGACTGTAACATCATCGTCTTCTTCATCGACTCATCTTATCCACAATTTTCTCCGACTTCCCAAACCACCGTCTTCTTCGGTCTATCTCTTCCTTAAACCCTTTTCCTTCTCCGCTTCAATCTCTCAATCTAAGCCTCGATTTCAATCATTCTCTTCTCTCGTAGCGAAATCGGTCTCTTCAATCGATGAACCAGTTCTCGG